GGTCCTTGGAGAGGGACATCATGTTTGGCAGAGTGGAGGGGCAGCGAAGGAGAGGAAGACCTTTGGTGAGAAGGATCGATTCCGTGACTGGAGAGGTGGGAATAAGTGCATTTGAGATGACTAGGTTGGCACAGGATAGAAGAACCTACAGAGCTCTTGTACATAGGGTTGCTATGAGTCACAAGCGACTCGATGGCACATAACAACAACAAATACAGTAATTACTAAAGAACAAAATAGATAATCACTGGTTACAGAAGACATCTAAAGACATACAGAAGATACATACAGTTTACCTTCTTTTTTTATACATTTTTTGTTTAATTGAGATTTTAATGAAAGATTACGGGGAACGTGGATTTCCATTCATGGATTGTGCAGTCTACCTTCCTCAGTGCAGGGCAACTCCACTACTCAAAACCTCTTTTCAGTCCTCTATAAAGAGGATCATCATAGCCCGCCCTTCTGGGCTTCTTGTACTCTTCAATGTTACAGGTCTTTGATATTTATGGCTCTTTGAAGGGTTTTTCACCTTTTCTGCTTTGCCTCTCCATTTTGTTTATACCTGTCCCAAAAGGCTCTATGGGTGTGGCTGCTTTCCAATAAAATGTTCATCAATTACTTTCAAGGCATAGTTCCTCCCCAAAGGGGCCACAAACTGATTCATTCCCTCTTCATTCACTGCTAGGGAGTTGGAAGCAAATCATAACTGACACTCCAGTGGGTTTTCAGAGGCATTAGATCACAAAGGAGAATTTCCATCTATTTATCGCAGAGCAGCTGGTGAATTTGAACTGTATACTTTCGGGATTGCAACACTACTACTACTAGATCACCAGAGCTCTCTCCCTATTACCTCTTGCTGTTGTTGCTAAATTATTGTCTTAGTAGGCTATACAACAGTTTATCCATACAGGCTATTTGCATCACTGCAAAGTGAATTGCAACCACTGGAAAAACTGTAGCCCACAGTCAGACTACAAAGTATCAAAGCAAGCTGTTTACAGTTTACTCAAAAAACATTAAATAATCTGAAAGACCTAACAGGTCTTCTGAGGTTAGAACACTAGGAAAAAGCAACTCATCAGAGTTTAAGGGGAAACTTTCCCAAGTTTATCTTGCAAGATTCAAGACAAAATACAACTTTAAAAAACTATCATCACAGTTCACGCTCACCTTTTAATCATGGTTTCTTTTACATTCACTAAGAAGGTGGCATCAGGATGAGGAAAACTGAGTTATGCAGATGACACAACCTTGCTAAAAACAAAAGATGACTTGCAAAGTTTGCTGCAGAAGATAAAAGGCCACAGCCTTCAAAATGAATTACATCTCAACACCAAGAAAACAAGAATCTTCACCACCAGGCCAAAAGGCAACATCATAATATGTAAGACTAAAGTTGTCAATGATTTCATCTTGCTTGGATAATCAACACCCGTGGATACCAGAAATCAAGAAACCAAAAGACATTGTTTTGGGGGGAAAGACCTCTCAAAGGTGCTAATGAGTAACAATTATCATTTTAAAGACTAAGGTACATCCACTTCAAAAGCATTTTTTTTATTTTATTAATTTTAATGACCACTCAAGAGATTTTGGATTTCCATTCATTCATTGTTGCACTTCTCTCCCTGCCCACCCCTCCCCTCCAGCTCACTCTTCTTTTTGAAAAAAGAAAAATTCCTTCATTGGTATACAATCCTCCGTATTTTTTTTAAAAAGTACTTGTTTTACATCTGAAAGTTGAACAATCAATAAGAATGACAGAACCACCACCAATGCCTTTGTACTGTAGTACTGGAAAAGAGTAGCAAACATTCCTTGGGCTGTCAAAAGAACAGGTTTGTGGTGAAGAAGATGTAGCCAGACTGGTACCCCAGAGACAAAGAAGATAATGCTTCATCTAACACATTTTGGGCATGCTGTTAGAAGGGACCAGTCCTTAGAAAAAAGACATTATGCTTAGAAAGGTGGAGGGACAGCAAAAAAGAGGAAAACCCTCAATAAGATGGACTAACAAAATAACCATAGCAATGGGTTTGAGTGTATGAGGATGAGGGTAGCACAAGATAATACAAGGCTCAGATTCATTTTTCACAGGGTTGCTCTGAGTCGTAGCTGACGTGATGGCACCAAATAATAATATACCTACTGGTTTCAACAGTTTCTTAGTTTTAGCCATTCCCTTCTCAGATCACAGTTCGGCATTCTTTCTGCACATTAGGGTCACCATGACTCACCTACAATTCAATAGCACTTAAGAACAATAACATCAACATAGAGATCAGTTGGCCTAGTGGACAGAAAGAGATGCTACCAAGCCAAAGGTAGGGGACTTTTAATCTGAGGTCCTCAGGCCTGTTTTTTCATTGTTTTTGTTCAAACATTCTTCTAGGTCATATAGCCCTGGTGCGTCCATCCACCTGCCATACAGAGGTAACTCATGGTGGCTGTGAAGCTGAACACTGTGACACTGATGTGTCAAATGTGTAAATGGTTACCCATGGCGTACAGTGTTTGGTGGAGCTGCCTGATTAAAACAAGCTTGGAAGCTGGAGTGGCATCCACTTCCATAATAGCTTGCCTCTGGAAATCCTATGAACCTGGAGAAAAGGATGAAAGTCACACAAGTGTTGAGGACTTTTGTTCATAGAGTTGCTATGAGTCACCTGTGACTCGATGGCATTTAACAAACTAGTTTATTGACAAAATTCAAATACAAATTT